TGCCCGAATTTATGCTAAGGCGTGGTCTTGAACGATTTCAGGTGAAGCTGGACATAACTCCTGATAAAGCCTGGATAAATGACAACATGTTTGTTCCTTCAGCTTATCATCTGGATGCTTCTGTTGAAGGCGGTTCAAAATCTCCAGACGAGAGAGGTGATACTCCATTTATTTACCCGGCGGGGATGGGTCAGGTCCTTATGAACGGATGCTGGGGTAAGGACTACAAGATGGGCGATCCATGTTATAATGCAAAACTAAACTCCACAATTTGTTGGGTAAGTCCTGAAGTCATAACAACCATGTAGATATTTCGTTTTTTAAAGACTTCGATGTAATCATTTCAGAGCGATTCTGTAATGACTGCCTTAATTTCAAAAATCAAGGTTAATGACTGAGCGGGTTGCCTTGAATTCAGAATGAAGTAAAATCGCAGACAAAAATCAAATTCTAATTTAAGACATCTTTAGGACCAGTTCATATTAACGGCGAAATTTCGAACGCGCGCGCGTTGATTAATTTGCATTGCAGTGCAAATTAAGAATTAATTAACGATAGATTGGCCTGCTCTCAGCCAATCACAATGAAGTATCATCTCAGTCATATAATGAGCGTAGTTAAACCCTCTACTTCAAGAGCCGAGCTCGAATTACTTTAACCAAACCCCAAAAAATTCTTTTGGTGAAGGAAAAAATAAGAAGAATATAGAAACAAACAAAAAATATAGCACCAGTCTCCCTCGGTTTGAAATGAGTCGTGACGTAGTTCAGGAACACGTGATTTGGGTCATGACTTAGTTGACTTGAAAACAAGTGGAAATTTTGCTTCAGAGTTGTTTACATTTAGTTGAAAATGCCGGAAAGGTGCGTTGCCGCTCTTTGTAACAACGTTAATGGTCCAGAAAACAACATCAGTCTTCATCGAAGGTTCCTGAACCTACGTCGCAGGCATCAGTCACGTGGCCATTTTGAGCACGTTATTCTTGTGATCAGCGGCAGGGGTCGACCGCAAGAATATAGAATTTTGAACTTTGTAAAGATTCGTAAAATAAATTGCGTTTTATCCAAATCGAAAAATTATTTCGCAGAAGCTCATTAGATGAAATGTAGAATTAGATGAGCGGAAAAAAGTTTTGACATTATGGGCACTTTATATCACATTCTTTTCCCACTTTTTCTTTTTATTTTATTCACTTTTTTTCTAACTTTCTACTTTTCTATAATAGTAATAAAAGTAATAATAATAATAATAATAATAATAAATAATTTGCAACTATTGATAGACTGGCCCGCCTAGACTAGCATAGCTATCCGCGGGCCAGTCCAACTGTAAAATGTAAATTTTATCAAGAAATAAAATGATGAATGAAAATGATGAATGAATGAGAAGAAAAAGAAGAATTTCTTTAAATTTGCTATTCTGCCGGGGTATTATCAGTTCAGAACAGGGTTAGTTTACTTTCTGATTGGTTTGGGCTCTACCAGGTGAGTTCTCGGAACCAGTTAATAGATGGATTTAGCCAAGCCTAAAGGCGGAACTCCTGAGCCGGGTTCTTCAAAGCTCGATTAAGTTAACCCAGAATTAGCGAGAATTTTGATTTGAGTTTTGTAACTTTGCGGTGAGGTTCTCTATATATTGTTTGGCCTTCTGTTTTGAGTTTGAGTAATCTCAAACTACGCAAAACAAAAGCAGTGAAAGACATTTGTATACGAGAAAAAGTTATGTTTTTAATCCTGGGAGCTTCGCTACAAAACTCAGCAAACTCAAGAGAGGCAAAAAGGAGAAAACTTCAAATAATTCGTGAGACCTGCAATATTGCATGGTATGATGTTACAGACATTATTCTTGTCAGTTCAGTAATACAAAGCAGCTCAAAATTCCCAATAAAATTCCCAATACCATTAGTGGACTTGTGGTACCACTTCGTATCCAACGTTACCTTAGTTTTATCTTTTTGTATGAAACCTGTCCTCTTTCTAGGATATGATTGACGGTGCTGCATTCATTGGTGTCG